CTCTGGCTGCCATGCTGTGAAGAAGACCAAACTAGCCTAAGCAAAGAGCCCATGTGGAGACAGGAAGACAGAGAGAAAGACCGACCTGGCCCAGCTCCTACTGTTACTTTGATTGGTAGAAACAAATAAGAGCTTCTTACAAGGTCTGTCAATCTGCTCTGGCTTATGGGAAGACAAACTATTCCCAGCCCTGTGTAAGTACTAGAAACTGTTTGGCCCACTGCTTTTCCCCAGCCTCGTGGAGTTTCACCCTTCCATTGCACAGATAAGTACTCAGCCCCAAAGGGAAGTACTCAATACAAAGGAACGCTCCTACAGATGTCCAAGACTCTCTTGTGTGCCATGTCCTCCTCTCAGATACTCTGCCCATCAGCCTCCCCAAATTCCCATCTCTGTCGCCTCTATTGAGTGAAACCACAGGTTTTTGTTCAGGTTCCGCTCCCTGTTCTAGGCTCTGGACACTGCCTCCAGATAGTAAGCTGGGGTCATTATGGAACTTAATTCATTGTTTCTGTTCTCTCAGGGATCACAATCCTGCACTGCCTGTTGGGCTAACGTCTGAAAACAATTATTTCATATATACATACATATATGTGTATATTTATATATACAACCCTTCCCTAAATATGTATAAGTATACATACTTATGATTTATATGACTGTATATATGTGTGTATATATTATATCTTATAAATATTATATATTTATAATGTATATTTTATATATTTATATAAAACATATTATATATTTTATATAAATATGAATATTTTATATTTAATATGTTATATATTTATAGAAATACAAATGTGTTATATTAAATGCAAATATTATATATTCTATATAAATATAAATATTGTATATTAAATATGAATATTATATATTCATATTAAATATAAATATTTTATAGTATATATTATATATTTTATACATATTATGTTTATTTATATATTATATAAATATATTCATTATATAAATATATATTAAATAATATTAACATACATATTTTATATTTTATATATACATAAATACATGCATATATATAATATATAAAATATATATATCTTTCCTCAAGTGATACTCCCATCTCAGCTTCTCCAGTTAGCTAGGACTACATTTGTGAGTTACCATGCCCAATTCATTTCACATAGTATGCTCAATTTTCCAGGTGTTTCTAGTGATAGCATAATTTTGCAGAAGCAGAAATCCAAATGTAATTGTTAAAACCTAAATTAAAAACTGAATTGTGTTCTTTAATCTTAAAATTCATATTCAAAGACACAAAAAAAGGGGGGCCTCTTTCTACTTAACAGCAAAGCTCGTTGAAGATGTTCTCTCAAGTAGCTGTCAGCACCTCTAACTTCCCACTCTTTAACTGGGCATATTCTGGTTTCTACCATCACCCACGTCACTGAAACAGGTCTTATCACACCATCTATAACTATTTTATTAGTACAGCTATGGAACATATTTAGTTTTTTATTTTCCTTCTAGTTCATTTTAGTCTGAGCTGGAAGATAAGAGTGTTTTCCTTACTTGACTTTCTACACCTGTGCTATCCACTCTGGTAGCCACTAGGCACATGTGGCTACCGAAAATTTGAAGTGTAGCTAGACCAAATTGGGAGGTGCTGGAGGTGTAAAACACACACCAGGTTTCCAAGACATAATATGAATAAAAGAATGTGACATACCTCATTAGTTTTTATGTTAATTACATGTTATAATGATCATTCTTAATTATTGGGTTAAACAAGCTATATCTCTAAAATCAATTTCATCTGCTTCTGTTTAGCTTTTTGTATCACTACCAGAAAACTTACAATAGCTTATGTGACTCACGTTATATTTCTAATGGCCAGTACGGCTCTACAACAACCTCTTGCACTGACAGAGCCCTGCTTTAAACTTTCCTTTCTTGGCTTGTGGGTCTCTGTTATTCCCTAGTTTTCTTGCTACCTCGCTCTCTGCTCCTTTTGAGACTTCTCTTCTGAGACCTAAATCTGTTGTTCTAAAATGGTAGTGTGCTGCAAAATCACCTGGGTTGCTTGCCAAAAATGCAGATTCTTGGATCTTATCTGATCTGGTAGACTGGCTTGGAGGACCGAGATTCTGATTCAGTAAAATAGAAGGAGAGCTCAGAAATTTAGATTAATCCTTAGCCCTATTCTTTCTCATTTTACCCTATTCATTCCATAGGTATCATCTTCCCTATCCCATCCACCTCCAAAGATAGAACTACCACTCACAGACCAACATCTCCCAAATCTCTTATCTTCAGCTGAGATCTCTCTCATATCCTGCCCTCTTCTTCCAACTGCCAGCTGTATATCTTCACTTGGAGGTACACTCGATAAGTTTGAGAAAACTTAGCATATACAGCATTTAAATTCTTATCTCTATTCTCCCTAGCCCATTCCTCCCTTTGACCTCTCAGTTATCCAAACTAGAAACCTGAAATAATTCTTTACTTCTTCCTAACCTCTATATCTAATCATATAAAAAACTGACCAATTCTGCTTACTTAACTTCTATCATCTCTGTGCCTTTTAAATGTCCTTCATTTAGGGTTTCTCAATCTTGGCTCTACTGAAATCTTGAGCCAGTTAGTTCTTTGTCGTTGGAGGATGGGGGTTGTCCTGTGCATTGTTAAATATTTAGCAGTTACCCTGTCCTTTACCCCACTAGATACTAGTAGCACCCCTTGCTGGTACAACCACAATGCCTCTAGACATTACCAAACCCTGTGGGAGGAGGTGAGTGGGAAGGAATCACATGTCATCCCACAGAGCCTCTGCCTCAGCTGGTGGAGGGCCGCTTCTTAATCATCTGCATTAGGGCAAGAGTTTCCACCTGGCCCTCTAGCCCAGGACTGCACCTCTTTTCTATTCTCTACACTCCTGATAGTTTTACAGTTTTCACAGGTTAAAATTCAGTATCTCTAAGAGGGCATAAAAAGGGCATTATTTTTTACTTACGTGCCTTTCCAGCTTTCCACTCTACCCATACTGAAAGGCTTTGCAGTTTCCTTAGAGATGGATGAACGTCATAAGAAGTGTTAACTACAGAGAGTAAGTAAGCTAGTAGCTTGTGAGATAAATGCAAAACTCCTAGCATATTTTAAATATAGAATATGAGTAAGCATGTACTTTGTGAAACATAGGCAAGATTATGTAAAATATATATAGTAAGTTAGTAAACTATAAGACATGCCAAAGTTAAATACAAATATGATGGAATAGAGAGTCACTGATAGCCAAAAAGGGATGGAAAAACTAAGCTATGAGCAATCATGACATCTCTGGGCTATTAACTATGTCACTCCTACATCAGCCACCCATTGGTCACACCTAGAATAGTCTCATATGTGCTCTGCCCAGGAAATGCAAAAAAAAAAAAACCTGTATCTGTTCAACAACTTAACCAGTAAGCTCTGGCTGTGACCAGGCATACTTCCCTGCTTCTATCCAATAAAGCAGGTGTGTACCATTGGCCCAAAGCACTTTCCACCTGTGGGTCTCCTTGCTGACACCTCATCTCTGGTCCTCATAAGTATACCATCAGCAGAGAAGGCTGTTGTGGCAGATAGAATATATGCACATTACTTAACCCATGATTCAGGTGATGGTGTCCTTCCACTTGCTTGCACCTTATCCTAACTGTGTCCACTTACCACAACTCTTCCACCTTTTCACTGGACACTGAAATTAAATAGGCTATATTATTTAATAATCTTAATTCAAGCTGTGAGCCTTCTGTTTCATTACCTTAGGAGAGCTTGCCTCGTTTACTGGGAAGCCACCATTGCATCAAATTAGTTTCCCACATGACAGTTCCATGCAGGCATTAATCTGCTCCCAGAACACTCCTGCTTTAGCCCTATCATTTTATTCTGTTTATATCCATGTGTTTCTGTTATGACACTTTTCACACCACACTGTGATTAACTGTTTATTCCTCTCTCACTAGTTTGTGAGTTCCTTGGAAGCAGAAATACATTTTATTCTTTTTGTCTAATCATTACTTAACAAAGTGCCAACCACAAAGTAAACAGTAAAAGAATTATAGAATGCAACCTCCTGCAGACACAGTTGAAGAAATTACCCATTGTTTTTTTCCTTTCTGTCGTTCCCTAGTTCTAGGCATCAATCGCCTGCCTAGTCGGGGAGCAGTATGAAAGTGGTGGGAGGACTATAGACTCACTGCAGAAAACAGCTTACAGTAATGCAGTGAATTACTAGCAAGTTTGGGCCTTGGTGGAGCTTGTCTTATTTGCCTGTTCACTGGGGGGTTTCAAACAATAGTTTTTGTTTCCCTGCTATCCCGAACTTAAAATAATTAAGCCAAGAATCTTTAAGAGATGTTCTGTTCTCCAAGATTCTAGATAATAAAACCTACTGTAAAAATTAATGAGCACCTATACTGTGACAGACAATAAAGATACAAGAAAAATGCCATTTCTGTTCTGAGAAAATTTACAAGAATTTTCCTGGAGCCTACATTTTACTCGAAGTAATAGCTATTCTTATAGCTTACAATAAAAGATGCATTTTGGAATATATTTCGCTTGAATGAAAGAAATAGAACGTGAGACCTTAAACAACGGGTCCATTCTTCAGATCCTTTTAACACACCCTCCTTCAGAGGTCGGGGTATTTGCGTGCAAAAGTTTACTATCACGCACAGGTGTGGAGATTTACAAATACAATCCAATTTAATGGGAACTGTGTCTTGTAAGAGATGGCCCCCAGGGACCTCCCATATCCCTAACCTCTCGGAGGACTGCAAAACACAGCTTCTGAAGCAACTCTTGCCTCGCCTTGAATCATTTGCCACTTCACTCCGCCCCGCCCCTTCCGTCCCCGGAGGCCGCCAGATTTGTGTCCGCTCTAGGCTTCTCCCGGACGTCTCTTTGTGGTGGCGTTGAGCTCCTCTAGCCCGCGCTTGCCGTCCTCTCAGTGGTAGCGCGGGGACTGGCTGGGAAGCGGGAGGTCGAGTGTGTCCTGTGTGGACGCGGATCCTGCCCGAAGCCGGGCGGAGGAGAGCTGAAGCTAAGGTGGAAGGGGAGCGGGGGAGGCCCTGGGGAGGAGCGGGAGAGTGCAGACGGGCCCCTGAGTGGCGAGGGAGCCCGGCGGCGTCACGGGGGAACCCGGAGAGAGGGGGAAGAGGAGGCCCGCACACGTGAGGGGGATTTCCGCAGTTGGCCGGGGCCTCTCACCCCCAGATCAACCCCTACCCCATAGTTCATCTGCGACGCAACGCCTTGGGCCAAAGCCCAGAACAGGTTCTGCCGCCTCTGACCTCTCCGAGGGTCGTCGCGTGTCCAGTAGGCCCAGGGCCTTCAAAGCTACGATTTTGACTTGAACTACTTAGAATTATATTGTGGCCTTGAACCCTGTAGACAGCCTGTATCTCTGCTATTTTTGTTTTTAATTTTTCAAATCAGAATCTTCTCAACCCTGGCCCTTTGAAGTCAAAGGCTAATGTTTATTTTTCCATCCCGGTACCTTGAACTTAGTAGGTGCCCATTGGACGGGTCTGGTGGTTTTAGTCATTTGTAAATAGCCGTGAACTAAGGACGAAATGTATGTGGCCTCTTACAGGGTTGGGGTGGGAATCATTGCAGGGTTTGGGGACACTCTGTTAGGCATGATGACAAAAGCTGTAGGCTTGAGTTTCTTCATCTGTAAATGAGAATGATAGTACTTTCCTCAGGGTGGCTATGAAGGTTCCTGAGATGATATTTGCCCTAAGCACTGTACCTGGCATGTCGTGACTACCACACTTGAACCAAATGTTTTCAATGATGTTATAGACTATATTTTTGTTTTAAATTAACTTTACCTTTCTTATTGTGCCTAGATCTTGAGGATTGAGACTCTCCTCTTGGCCTTTGGGCCCTTTGATTAATGCCAATTGTCATGTTATAGGTAATCAGTATTTGAAGATGACAGGCACAAAAAGTTCACAGTTGCAAGATGCGTAACTTTTGTAGGTGTCTGTGCCCTTAACTAAAGCTACTGATTTGGGGCGTAGGGGTAGATTAAACTATATTTTTGTTAAATAAGAGATAATCTGGGAAGATGCTTTATAAGTTGCAAGACCCTATGCCAAAAAAAAAAGCCTTTAATTTTTTTCATAAAACATTTCATGAAAGTTTGTTTTCTGTTTTTCGTAAAAGAGACATCAGTTACAAAACGAGGTACATTTTTTGTTTTGTTAAATTTCCTCTAAATCTTACTTTCCCACTAATAAGGAGACTGGTAACAAACTAAAAAACTATGTTAACATGAATTAACATATTGGAACGGGTATTTCTGCATCTCCTCCACAAATTTAGGAAGAAAAAGTGAGTTCCGTGATTAATCCTCAATTCCCTCTGCTGTTGTTTTGGTAGTGGCTGTTTTGCTGTTTTGGTAGTGGCTGTTCTGCTGTTTTGGTAGTGGCTGTTCTGCTGTTTTGGTAGTGGCTGTTCTGCTGTTTTGGTAGTGGCTGTTCTGCTGTTTTGGTAGTGGCTGTTCTGCTGTTTTGATAGTGGTGGTGGGGTGTTCTGCATTAACACCTCGAAACCCCTGTGATAATGTCCTAGACCTTGCTTTATTAGGAAGTCTTGCAAGCATCATGGCCACGTATGATTTTTCTCAGCTTCCTCAACCTAGTCTACCTTCCTTACCGTTTTTTAATGGGTAGCAAGAGATAATGCTTAAGAACTCTTTAAAACTACTGATGTTTTAAAGTAAAGCTGGTTAATTCCCTGAGCCGGCAGCGTTCAAATTGTATGAAGAACAAATACTTTTGTTTACTACCTAAGGTAGTAGGAGAGGTCTAATCAATGTATTCTACATTTATTTCATTCTCTTTTGATTCTTAGGTAGTGCTACAAAAATATTAAATGTTAATCTTAGAATCACAAAACATGCTGTATTTAGGCACTAAAGTAAAATGATACCAATCCTAAGGCAGGAGAAAGTCTTAATTTTCTCCTATGCAGAATTTTTAAGACAATGTCAAATAAGAAATCTGGACTTAGGAGAGACTTTATTCAAAAGGGTTATTGCAAGAGGAGAAAAGGGACTTTTGCAATGGGTGGAACCAAAAGATCTGCAAGAGTCTCCAAGGAGTGAACCGTGCTGGAAAGTTTTGGTGTGAGGAAGTAGAATATAAGGGTGGCTTGATCTAATAGTAGATCTGAGAATGTTATTCCCTGGCTCTGGCTGAGAGTTGGCTGAAGTTCAGGAACCTGGGGGAAGGAGAGAAACTAAAGTTTAACAAATATTTTGTTCCACTTGATCTGTAGGGCCACGCAGCTGAGCAAATTATTCATAAATTCGTAATTGAAGCAAAAAATGGGAATTTGGAGGGTCTTTCTCTGGCCTGGTCATAGGTAAACAAGGGGGGATCCTTGAGTCTTACCTAACTCAAGGGTGGATTTTTTAAATTATAGCTAATAAAGAACCAGCGCAGGGCTCAAGCAAAATTCACCTTGTCAAAAAGTGGTTTTATTATTTGACATTGAAAAGTATTGAAAACCTGGATTTTATTTATACCGTGGTGAATCTTTCTAAGACTGGGGTGTTTGTTACTGGTTTGCTTGTTATCCTATAAGAAGCTGGATTTTTTTCTTCTTCCTTGAGGAGTACTAGGTTTTATACTGACCAGAGTGATTGAATGGAGCAAATTAATATTTTCTTGCATTAAAAGATTATTAAAATAGGAACTGGTAAGATGCTACAACCAGTTTAAGTGACAGTTAAAAGTAGACATGTTTATAGAGCAGAAATATTGAAATAAATACACAAGTGAAGGCAAAATTGGCTGCTTCCACAGTGAGACAAATTCTATCACTGACCTTCACCAGATAGAATTTACAAGAATACAATTATTTTGCCTTGCTGTTGGTTATCTACAGTTGACAGTTGTAAAATAACTCCAAGATGCTGAAAGAATCAGACTTCCCATATAATCAAAATCTGAAAACCTGAAAGGCTGTGCTCTCAACAGTGCAGTTTTCTATTGAAGCAGATGTTTTTCTCTGTCCTTAGTTTATCAAGTTTAAATCTCCTCTCCCCCAATAATCTTCCCTAGAGTTAGACTTCCTGTAAGGCAAATACATATCTGTGTTTTCTTATGCTTTTTTGCTATCTTCTATAAAATATATCTTCTTCTATATATTTGCTATCTTCTATAAAATATAAAATATAGAAGATAGCAAAACATTTTACGTTTAATTTTTTTAATTGAATTATCTAGAGCAGTACATAGCAAACTGTAATGTGCTTACACATCACCTGGGCATCTTTTTGAAATGCAGATCCTGATTCATTGGGTCTGGAGCTGATACTGAGATTCTGTATTTCTACCGAGGTCTCAGTTGATGCCAGTGCTGATTCAGGGTCAGTAAATAGTAAAGCATTTCCAACTATATTAAGGAAGGGGCCAGATAAATCATCGTTATGGAAGAACGTAGCAGTGTACTGTAGGTGAAAGGAACAATATGAAGTTGCTGGACTGTCATTTGAAGAAAATAAAATATAAATTGTAGGCCACATTGCCACAACACAGACCAAAATGAGCAAAAACAGTTGCTAGGAAACAGACTCGAATGCAGAACTTTAGCTTATAGGAGGAAGACAGAAAGAGCTGGAAATGGGAACACTGAGGAATATAACAGAGGAGGAACAACCAGAGGTTGTAATTTTTAGAATGCAGACAGTGACCACTTATGATCAGTGTCTGAAATTTAGTGTTCCTTGAGCTAGCTGGACTTGGACTCTTTGACAGTATGTGAACAGACTGCCTAATTGTAGATCAGAAAGCTAACCTATGGAAGACTTTAAAACTGCCGTGACCAGGTGTGTGTACTCAAGTGAGTGGGATTAGTTTGCTGCTGAGTTTTAATCTGTGTAAAATTTAGTTTTTATCACAGTTGACAATGTCTTTTATCAGATAGGATATTTTAATTTTGAAATGAGCTGGTCCTGTAAAGAAGTAATTCATTGTCTGAAATTCAAATCTAACGGGGCATCCTGCGTTTTTTTATTTGCCAAATCTGGTGACCCCATTTTCTGCATCCAGTAAGTAGAGATCTTTCTTTGGTGCCAGCTCAATGTCGTGCCTGTTACTAAGAAAAAACTTAACTTCCTATAGACAAATTACAGGACAACCTACTCAGAAGGCTGATAGGCGAGAGAATCACTTGAGGCCAGGAATTTCAGAAATAGGTATTCAACTTCACTGGCACAAGTTACAGAGTCTGTTCCATTAGTTTCCTTTAATCATGATGAACTCTGGTGAATTTTGTAGTAATTTAGCCACGAATAAAGGAAACTAACGGAACAGAGACTCCCCAATAAGTAAGGAAAAGAATTTTTTTACCTAAAATTTAAATTAATAAATAGAGTAAATGAAATTAACCTAAAGGGTAAAAATGTATTATTACTATGGACAGATAAGTTTTAGTTTCCTAAATCCAAGATGCTTTTCCTATCAAATATGGCCAGGGTAGCCCAAGTTTTGAATACTAGGAAATAGCTTTATGGCAAAAAATTCCATTATAGGTCTGTGGCTAAAAACTGGTAATGGTTACCTACAAATAAAAATCTGTGGCATTAACAAAATATTAAGCATTATTTTCTATACAGTGCTGAGGGATAATTGTTCTAGTTTCCCTTGTATTAATAAACGTCAGAGCCAGATTGTGTCCCTTATTTGCTAGGATACATTGCCACGTAGTTCGTTGTTTTATAACTTTACCTCTGGTTTCCGTTTTCTCCTCAACTTATCTTAACCCAATTATCTGTTTGAAGAAAAAAAATTATTATTATTATTTTTTTTTTGAGACAAGACTCTCGCTTTGTCGCCCAGGCTAGAGTCCAGTGACACGATCTTGGCTCACCGCAACCTCCACCTCCTGGGTTCAAGCAATGCTCATGCCTCAGCCTCCCATGTAGCTGCACTACCACACCTAATATTTTTGTATTTCTAGTAGAGGCGGGGTTTCATTGTGTTAGCCAGTCTAGTCGAGAACTCCTGGCCTCAAGTGATCCACCCACATCGGCCTCCCAAAGTATTGGGATTACAAGCATGAGCCACAATGCCTGGCTAGAAAAAAATGTTCTAATTATTACTGTGATAGTAGCCATTTTATCTGATTTGATTAGGACCTATATTAGTTCCTTTTAAAAGCTAACTAAAACAGAATAAATGAATATAAATATACTCTGTTTTTACCAGCTTTAAAACTTTTTTTCAGTTAAAATGTTCAGTAACATTTTTTAACACTTTAAAGTGTATTTTATTTTTTAACTTTCTAAATATAGTATTTTGACATAAAGCACAGACATTTATTCACCATTTTTTGTTACCTGAGGCCAGGGTCTTTTATTGTTATATGATTTTGCTGATTATTTTCTCTGCAGAAACCACATCAAAAAGTGTTTAAGATTTCTCTCCAGTTTTGTTTTTTTTTTTTTTTTTAATTTGGCAAAGCTTAAAAACACTTGTAAAATTGCCGAATCCTAGATTTCACGGGACCTTACTACCACTCAGATTTCAGTGGTTCACATCTTTTCTCAACAGCAGTTTTTTTCCTAATGAGTTGCATCTTTTCTTCAGGATTCAACTTAGTTTTTTAATTTGCTTTGAAAATATTTATGAAAAATTTCAAATAGAAAGTATGGACAGTAGTGAAGCACTTATGTACATGTCACCAAACCTTATTTTCTGTAAATCTTTTTGGGGAAAAAAATGTTTTTTCCCCTCAGAAGTATCCACAAATGTGATATATGTTACTCTCATGTATATTTTAGTATATATTCATGTTTAATCTGTGAATCTTTTTTTTTTTTTTTTTTTTTTTTTTTGAGATGGAGTCTCGTTCTGTCGCCCAGGCTGGAGTGCAGTGGCGCGATCTCGGCTCACTGCAAGCTCCGCCTCCCAGGTTCACGCCATTCTCCTGCCTCAGCCTCCCGAGTAGCTGGGACTACAGGCGCCCGCCACCTCGCCCGGCTAATTTTTTGTATTTTTTTAGTAGAGACAGGGTTTCACCGTGTTAGCCAGTATGGTCTCGATCTCCTGACCTCGTGATCCACCCATCTCGGCCTCCCATTTTACCCTTACTGATGATACTATATAACCTTTACAACGTTTTTCACTTAAGATTGTCTTTAAGATTTATTCATGTTGATACATGTAATTCATGTAGTTTATTCATTTTAACTGTTATGTGGGAGTCCCTTGTGTGAGTAACAATTTTACATCCTTTACAATTCACTGCCAAAGGCAGTGAATGCTGAAAGTTTTCATATATAACTTGTGCTCGTATTGGAGATATTTTTCTCCAGCTGATGCCCAGAACTGAAAAGAGGTCAGTCCCAAGGTATATGCTTCCTCAGTTTTACAAGAAATTGCAGAAAAGGTTCTAAAGCAGTTGCAGCAATTTACATTCCTACCAAAGTTATTATAAGGAGCATGTAAGAGTTGGACACATCTTAACCAGATATCAGATTTTTAAATTGATTTCAAGCAAATGTTTAAGAAATGATACTTAATTTGCATTTTCCTAGGAACTATGAGGGAAACAGTTTGTATGCTGTTCTCTTTCTCTGTGAATTGCCTAACTATATTTGTTTAGTTTTCCAATGGACTCTGTCATTTTCTAACTATATTTGTTTAGTTTTCCAATGGACTCTGTCATTTTCTAATTGATTTTTTAAAGTGAGGGGTTACTCGAATATTTACAATAATAATCCTAACAACACCTTTCAAGTGTCATTTTTTTCTCCTTTAGTTATACAGAAATGTGTAAATTTTACATATAATCAAATGTATCCATCTTTTTATTTTTTTTGGTACCTGCTTGCTTGTTTGAATAATTCTTCCCTACTCCCATGTCAGAAAATCTTCTTTATTTTCTCATAAAATGTTTAGTTTTTCTTTTCATGTTTAATTCTTTAATCTACCTGTAATTGATTTTTGTTTGTGCAGAAGAGATCTAATCCTTTTTCCATATGGTTAACTGGTTAAAGTCCCTTCTTCATTAGTGTGTGATACCCATTGATTAATAGTACCACATGTCATATACCAAGCCCTCTTCTACTCATGGATCTGTTTGTTTATACTATACCAATACCATAGTTTCAATTAGAATAGGTTTATAGTAAATCAATATGTTACTGTATTTTCCTTCATGATTACCTTGGCTTTCTTAGACCTTTACTCTTTGATATAGGCCAGCTTGCTAAATTCCAGTGGGGTGGGAGTAGAATATCTGATGGAACTTTGATTGGAATAAAACTGAATTTACAGATGTATTCCTGGATAATTGACAGATTTTTTTATAATGAGGCACTCCATGATATATAGCTGCATTTATTTAGGGTACCTTTTTTGTCTTTCAGTTTGATAATTTTCTCCATGAAGGACTTGTTATATATTTTTTGTAAGAGTCACATATTTTGTAAGATACAGTGTTTTTCGGTTTCTAGCATCCCTGGTGAATTCTCTTATTAGTTCTAATGGTTTGTTAAACCTCTTGTATTTCTCATGTATCTTTGGATAATATTTCTTATTTCCTCCTTTTTAATTCTTATATAGTCTTAAATATAATCTGTAATTGCAGGTGTTCTCGCCAAGTTCTGACTTTTCAGGGAATGCTTCTGTTTGATTATTAAATGTCTATTATAGGACTTTGGTAAATACCTTTTTTATTCCTTATTTTCTTTTAGACAGGTGTTGAATTTTATCAAATACATTTTCAGTTTCCTAGATAAACTTGCAGCACAAATTTGATTCTCTTTAATATTTTCTCTAGGGTGATCAGCCCATGACCTAGACCTCTAGACAAAATAAAACAGGGAAAATTTGCTAGAATCAAGAATGATGGATCCATGTTCAGTTGGAGTCCAGCTTCGTACTACAAATGAGTGCCATAAAACCTACTATACTCGTCACACAGGTTTTAAGACTTTGCAAGAATTGTCATCAAATGATATGCTTTTACTTCAACTTAGAACTGGAATGACACTTTCTGGGAACAATACAATTTGCTTTCATCATGTAAAAATTTACATTGACAGATTTGAGGATTTACAGAAGTCGTGTTGTGACCCATTTAACATACACAAAAAATTAGCCAAAAAAAATTTGCATGTAATTGACTTAGATGATGCCACTTTTCTGAGTGCAAAATTCGGAAGACAGCTTGTACCTGGTTGGAAGCTTTGTCCAAAATGCACACAGATAATCAATGGAAGTGTGGATGTTGATACTGAAGACCGCCAGAAAAGGAAACCTGAGTCAGATGTATGTATAATATTCATTTTTTTTCTATGTGAATTCTACCATGTAGGATTTTGCTTAACTATAAGAAAATCATATTTACAGTATTACTATATTTGCTAGGATACAGTGAATTAAAAGGAGGGGGTGAAAGTGGATGATGTGTCTAAATATTATTCACATACACTGAAGGTCAAGATTGGGGGATAAAGAAAGTAGGCTTGGGAAAGGAATAATAAAATATGCCTGAGACTCCAAGCTACAACTTTTAGTACGAAGACTTTAGGAGTGGGTTTCAGAACATTCCGGCCAAGCCAAAATTTTGTTTCTTTTCTGATACCAAAGTGACTACATGGGACATAGCAAACAGCAAGTGTCTTTGAAGCAGGATGAATTTGCCTTTATATGAAGGACTTGGAAATCACCGCTTTAAAAGGAACATTAGAGAGATGACTTATAGTAATTGTTTTTTATTTCACTCTTTCTTTCTCCTTTGACACTATCCCATTCTTGAGTTTTTTAAATGCTTGTGAGTTTTCATTGCTTCTAGCTCTGAATTCCTACTTGGTATGGTCAAGGCTGATTTTAGGACTCGTCGTGGTAAAAAAATAATAGTAATAAATTTTTACATTGTAAAGTATTAAATATTTTTCCTCTATTCCTTATTGACATGCCTACATGCATATTTAACCGTATCAGAACAACTTAAGATTTCGTAAAGCTATCTTTTGTGTAGGACAAGCATGCCAGGGAAGCACTTCTCATAATTTTTACTTGTAATTATTTCATAATTCTTACCTCTGGAATATTTTTCTCCTTTTTATTAAACCAAGTTAAAAGATAGTTGAAATTTGAAATTATACTATTTTCCTGTTGTTCTCTTCTGAGAGGAACATCTTGAGGGCCCAATTTATCTGCAGTTCATACTAGATACTTGCTGATGATGTCACTGTGGATGTCTTCACCTTATCTATCCAATGTTCTTGTAGAATATATCAGCTGCAGCTCTTTCCTCCCCAAATAACAAACATAAACCCTTAAACAACAAGAAATCCTTAAGGACCCAGGATTGTTAGGAAATCAGTTATGTGCCACTGGATTATACAGCAGTTTTTGTGCCTTCTCGCCTGTGTTGGCAGCAGCCATTAGCGGTTTTCACAATGCCTTCCTCCTCTGCTCCTAATATACCAGAGACTAAAATCAAATAATGAAAATGTTACTAATACATTAACCAATACACTTTGAATATGATCTAGGGCCATGTAAACTTTCTTGCACTTAGGCTCTAAAACCTAAGTGCAAGAAAACCTTGTTTTCTTTTTTGTATGTTCCAGACTGCCTTCCAGGTTAGGAAGTCATCTGGTTTAACATTAAATGAAATGTTATTGTCTGATGTCTAGATTTGAGTTGATAATTTGTTTACCTTTCTTCAGGGAAGAACTGCTAAAGCTTTGAGGTCACTACAATTTACAAATCCAGGAAGGCAAACTGAATTTGCTCCAGAAACTGGTAAAAGAGAAAAAAGAAGGCTTACAAAAAATGCAACCGCTGGTTCAGACAGGTAGGCTAAGTGTTATTGAAGACATGTTAACTTGCTGCTTCACATCTGCATTGTTCCCCTATTTTTCTCTTAAATTTTGAATTTTCTGGGTTCATATTTTAAATTGGATAATATGGAATTAGTAAAAACCTATGAAGGCCTTTGTTTTTACTCATATAAAATTAAGGTATCCCTTTCAATTCCAAAAATTTGTTTCTAAGAAGGTAGCAGTGAACTGAAGCAAATCATTTTGGCATGAGAGTTAAAATAATTACAATTAAAGTAATTCACTTATTTGAAAAGCATTGGTGTATATGTACGGACATACCTCCTTTTATTGGTGCTTCACTTTATTCTCTACAAAGTGCTATTTTTTTTTTTTTTTTTTTTTTTTTTTTACAAATTGAAAGTGTGGCAACTCTGTAAGTCTATTGGTGTCATTTTTCTAACAGCATGTACTCCCTATCTCAGTGGCATTTTGGTAATTATTGCAATATTTACACCTTTTTCATTACTATATCTGTTATGATGATCTTTGATGTTACTATTATAATTGTTTTGAGTCACTAGGAACCACACCAATGCAAGGTGGTGAACTTAGTCGATAAATGCTGTGGGTGTTCTTACTGCTCCACCTACTGGCTGTTCTCTAGACTCTCTCCCTCTCCTCAGGTGTCCCTATTCCCTGAGAAACAAATATATTGAAATCTTTCCAACTAATAACCCTACAGTGGCCTGTAAGTGTTCAAGTGAAATGAAGAGTCAAGTCTCTCATTTTACAAAAAAAGTTAGAAATGATTAAGCTTGGGAGGAAGGCACATCAAAAGCTGAGACAGGCCAAAACCTGGGCCTCTTGTGCTAAACAGCCAAGTTGTGAATGCAAAGAAAAAGTTCAGGAAGGACATTTAAAAGTACTATTCCATTGAACACAAATGAGAAGAAAGAAAAACAGCCTTTTTGCTAACATAGAGAAACTTTAAATGGTCTGGATAGAAGATCAAACTAGCTACAACACATTCCCTTAAGCAAAAGCCTATACCAAAGCAAGGTTCTAACCCTCTTCAATTCTCCAAAGGCTGAGAGAAGTGAGGAAGCTTCAGAAGAAAAGTTTGAAGCTAACAGAGGTTGGTTTATGAGGGTAAGGAAAGAAGCAATCTCCATAATTTAAAAGTGCAAGGTGAAGCAGCAAGTTATTGATGAAGGTAGCTACACTACCCAACAGATTTTCAATGTAGACAAGCAGCCTTCTTTTTTTTTTTTTTTTTTTTTTTTTTTTTGAGATGGAGTCTTGCTCTGTCGCCCAGGCTAGAGTGCAGTGGTGCAATCTCAGCTCACTGCAACCTCCACCTGGCGGGTTCAAGCGATTCTCCTGCCTCAGCCTCTCGGGTAGCTGGGACTATAGGCGCATGCCACCACGGCCAGCTAATTTTTTTGTATTTTTAGTAGAAATGGGGTTTCACTGTGTTAGCCAGGATGGTCTCAATCTCCTGACCTTGTGATCTGCCCACCTCAGCCTCCCAAAGTGCTGGGATTTCAGATGTGAGCCACCACGCCCGACCAACAAACAGCCTTCTAATGGAAGAAGATACCATCTTTCATAGCTGGAGAGGGGAAGTCTATACCTGGCTTCAAATCTTCAAAGGATAGGCTGTCTTAGTAGGGACTAATGCAGGTGGTGACTTTTAAGTGGAAGCCAATTATTTACCTCTTCGAAATCCTAGGCTCCTAATGATGCTAAATGTACTCTACCTGTCCTGTATAAGTGGCACAAAGCCTGGATGGCAGCATATCTGTTTACAGCATTGTTCACTGAATATTTTTAGCCCACTTGGGAGACTTCCTGCCTAGGTAAAAGGATTCCTTTCGGAATATTGCTACTCATTGACAATGTACCTGATCACTCAAGAGCTCTGATGGAGATGTCCCAGGAGATAAATGTTTCATGCCTGCTAACACAACACTCATTCTGCAGCCTGTGGATCAAGGGGTACTTTGACTTTCAAGTCTTGTTATTTAAGAAATACGTTTTGTGAGGCCAGAGCTGCCATAGACAGTGAGTGATTCCTGTGATGGATTTGGGCAAAGTAAATTGAACACCTTCTGGAAAGGATTCACCATTCCAAGAGTTTGGAAGAAGATTCCAATCCTCATGGATGACTTTGAGGGGTTCAAGACTTCAGTGGAGAAAGTAATTGCAGACGTGGTGGAAATAGCAAGAGGACTAGAATTAGAAGCAGAGCCTGGAGATGTGACTGAGATATTGCAATCTTGTGATAAAACTTGAATGGATGAGGAGTTTCTTCTTAGAGATGAGCAAAGAATGTGATTTATTGAGGTGGAATCTACTGGTGAGGATGCTGTTAACATTACTGAAATGACAAAGGATTTAGATTATATAAACTTAGTAGATAAAGCAGAGGCAGAATTTGAGAAGATGACTCCAGTTTTGAACATTCTGCTGTAGGTAAAATGCTATCAAACACCATCGCATGCTACAGAGAAATCTTTTGTAAAAGAAGAGTCCACTGATGCAGCAAACTTCACTGTAGTCTTACTTTAAGAAATGGCCACAGCTACCCCAGCCTTCAGCAACCAACACCCTGATCAGTCAGCTTTCCTCTTTGAGGCAAGATCCTCCACCAGCAAAAAAAACTACAACTCACTGAAGGCTCAGATGATAGTTAGCATTTTTTAGCAATAGAGTATTTTTAAATTAAGGTACATACATTTTTTTCTTAGAGATAAGGCTGTTGCACACTTAATAGACTATAGTGTAAGCTTAACTTTTATATGCACTGGAAAAGAAAAAAATATATATATATGTGTGACTCACTTTATTGGCGGTGGTCTGGAACCAAACCCACAATACCTCCAAAGTGTGCCTATAATTCATATGTCTCTGTTCTATGGGTAGCAGCTAAAAGGTAATTACATTTTATGAGAATGCGAGGTTTTTATTTTTTACATGTCTGAAATAGAAATGCAGTTCTGTATAGTCAACAGAATGAATGGGAGGACTAGATTGTTTAGAATATGACTCTTTAAAACAAATGTTAGTATAATCATTCAGAATTATTTTTAAGTTCAGTCAACATTTCTATATATGCCATCTATTCCATCTGTTAAAGTTTACATTGAGTCATTTGAATATTTTTAGGCAAAATTTACTAGAGTCCATTAAAGAACCAGAAACATTAATTGTAGTATAAAAATCTATAGAGGTGGTATACTATAATAAAAATAAGACTATGTTGATAAAACAGTGAAGAGGTTGGTAACTAATAAAATGAACCACTATTAACCTGTCATTCTTTTTTGTTTGTTTAAAGTAAAGGGAAAATTATACTTATTTTTTGGACAAAGCTCCTGTTCATTCCTTTGCTGAAGTGACTTTTTAATGGACTTCAAGAAGCGTATTCAGACTTTTTGGATTTGTCTCAACACTCTAGAGTTAGGTCTGCTCTTCTCACATGGAGTTCATTTACTGCTGACAATAGAATAAGCCTTGAGTCAGATAAATTATAGATCATTTTGGCATGACCTCATCTCAAAATATTTTATCGCCTTTTTTTTTTTTTTTTACTGTATTTTCAATTAAATAATCAAAAATAACTTATTTATGAGGTGTAATTCCTTGTGTTTTATTTTACAGACAAGTGATACCAGCAAAGAGTAAGGTCTATGATAGCCAAGGTCTCCTGATTTTTAGTGGGATGGACCTCTGTGACTGCCTTGATGAAGATTGCTTAGGATGTTTCTATGCTTGTCCTGCCTGTGGTTCTACCAAGTGTGGAGCTGAATGCCGCTGTGACCGCAAGTGGCTGTATGAGCAAATTGAAATTGAAGGAGGAGAAATAATTCATAATAAACATGCTGGATAATCTGTGGTACCAAACTGTGGGGCCTTTAAAGGTCATTATTTCTAAAATTCTGTTACTCTTAAGATATATTTTAAGCTTGATTGTCATATGACAAAGATTTTAAAACCACCTCAGTGTGCCCTGATTTTTCATCTTGGGTGCTTTAAGATTCACTATTTGATATAAATTCAGATAGGCTATTTTTCAGCCTATTAAGCCTGTCTGGATCAATGTTAACAAGTAGGGTGTAGACAGTCCTCTATTTGCATGTTTCCCGTGGTCACAAATTTCATTGACCTAGATTTCATTTAAATACCAGTTTCCTTACCGGGAAGGAAAAGAAACTGGTAAGGAAACTGTTGTTAAAATCTAGGTTAAAATTTTAGTTAGCGCAGTATAACTCTTGAGTAATTACATGAAGTACAAACTTCTCTGCTAGTTCTTCAGTCTACAAATCACTATGTAAATAACAGATATACTTCATGATTAATAACCAGTCATGTTGACTACTTTCAGATTCTTCCAGTGGTTTGTCCCTGTGTATCTGTTATTCAGTTCACTTATAGCAGGGCACATAGTTATGCTGTCACTTTGTCATCCACTTGACATTTTATAGAAGTGAACACTCAAAAGAGCTGGCCAACAAAGATGAAAGTGCAGCAAAGCAATAAAAAATGATAACACTGGAAGTGAAATTTTAATCAAACATAAATGAATTTGTAGAAGAAGTCACTGACCATGGGAATATTGTTCTTGCTGCTGTGCATTCATAGGAGCTTAATGAAGGCAAACTTATCAACACAAATAAGAAAAGTGGTTGCAATAAAGACAAATATGTCCCAGAGGAAGTGATGGTTAAAAAAAAAAAAACTTTACATTAAAGGATATTTAATGTGAATATAGAAGTATTTCACAACATTGAAAGCACAAGCAATAAAAGGGTGGAAGCGGACCCAAACTTAAAAGAAGTATGAGTTTGCCTTGAACATAAAAGATGCTTACTCAGTATCATAAGTTACTTGCCAGAAAAAAAGGCAAGCCCTATTCAAACTGCTTTGTTTTTACAATGAAATAAAACACTTTAGCTCTATTTCTAATGTTTTAAATTACAGTGTACTAAATATTTTTAAACATTTTTGCATTTTTTTCCTACATTTATAACTGATCTTAAGAATTTTTAATATTTTAGCAGAATCTTAAAGGTCATGGAACAGTCATCGTTTTCCCCATTGATTATTAAGATTTCATGGCCATTTTATGGTCCCACAGTACCACGCAAAATGAGGATCGCTTGTAGCTGGGAACAATGCTTGCTTCAGGGAAAACTGATTTTGATAGAACCGACTAGTTGAGTATTAAACTGTTTTGGAAATAATTTATATATCTCAGTGCTGAAATATATTTCTCTTCTCCCCACTTAATTCAAATAAAAAAGTTTTAATACTGTAAACCTTTCATTGTTTGCACCATGCACTCGTCAAAATTGTTCTGGGGGACAAAAAACTTCATGTATAAAGCATGAATATACACATAGTACTTAAACAGATACTATATTTGCGGTATTAAAATTTGGGGGGTGGTTGATTAGGATTATAAAAAGTCTCCTTAGGGGAGTGATAGAAAAGAGAAACACTGGTTAATACAGAGTATAAATAAATTTTTTGGAAATTGATTGCATCTTGATGTTGGAATTTGCTTGGATGCTGTTTGGAGGATGGGGGAATGGTATCTCTTTGCTTTTATTTATTTATTTATTTATTTATTTATTTATTTATTTATTTATTTTTGAGACAGAGTCTCTCTTGCCCAGGGTAGGGTGCAGTGGCTCAATCTCGGCTTCCTGCAACCTCCGCCTCCTGGGTTCAAGTGATTCTTCTGCTTCAGCCTCCCGAGTAGCGGGGACTACAGGCACGTGCCACCATGCCCAGCTAATATTTTGTATTTTTAGTAGAGACGGGGTTTCACTATATTAGCCAGGATGGTCTCAATCTCCTGACCTTGTGATCTGCCTGCCTCGGTTGTTGCACTTTTTGCACTTTTTTAAAGACAGCTGTCATTTTGTCTAAAAGCTTTTTGTCACATGGGACATTGCCACTAATCTAGGTTTTTGGGGGTTTTTTTTTTTCACCCTAAATACAGTCCTTCAGTTTAATCAAAAGTGCTCTTAGCAATTTGAAAGATTTTGTAGCCATTAAAACTCAGTTTATGCAGCCAGTTTGACCAATAAAGGGTTTGTTTGATTTTTAATTTTTTGCTTTTAAAATGACTGGTTTTGAGGGAATGGCATATTCATCCTTGGAATTACATGTTTTTATGTTTTAATTGTTCACTCACCTGTTCACTCATCTGTTACCAGAAGTACATACAGTTAACTTGTCAGTTCCTTGATCTGTATGTTTTACCTGAGCACTGGCAAAAAGAATATTTCAGCTTTATTCACTTAAGTCAGATGCTAGATTACTTTTCTCTAAATTAAGGAAATATTTTGTTATTGAGGACATAAACATTCCAGTTTTATCTGAACATTAGGATCATTAGATCTTAATTGTTTCTACCATCTTTTAGTTTTTGTAAGTATGACAGTGCTTAGGCTTTTCATAGGGACAAATTAAAATCTTAGGTTTTTTACTTAAAATAGGAATATTTTTGATGAAATGAATGACTTTAATATTGCCATATTGCAGCATTTTTTAGAACAGACCTGTAATTTTTCAAAGACTAAAGGAAAATATTCTTGAACAATTTTGCTAATATTTGTTCATCATGCCCATTTAGGGAAGCAAACTTTTAATGAGCGTACAAAATGTTTACAGAGGAAGGTATATCTGATTTACAGTAAGCTTTAATAAAGCTGTGTTTTGGAAAAATTAAATAATGAGCCCACTTACTATTTTGTAATATAAAATTACAGAAATACAGAATATAATGAAATCATCTAGAACCTCTTTATATTGTGCATAAATATTCCAAGTGACTATAAATTACTTTAGAATTATATTAATCTAAACAGCAAAGTTTTATAAACAATTTCTGTTGTGCGTAGATCCCAGTAGAGAAGTTAGGTCACAAATGGTCTCACACGATGTTGATCACAAATATTAAGGTAGAAATGCATGTATATATTTGAATAAAATGTCATCTCGTGATCTTTTTTTTTAATATGGAAATAGCTGTTTATCTTGTAACATATAGGATTCTTCTCTTTCTAAAATACTATGTTTAGTTCTATATAACAGGCAGTTCTACAACCTGACAGTCTTATAAAACTGCCTCCCTGGCGTGATTTCAAGCAAGTAATTTTTAGTAAGTGAATTTTGAAATGCATTTTGAAATATCCATAAATATCCATAGTGATTTATTAATAAAAAAATAATTTTAGTGAATTCTATCATGGTCTTAACTTTTTGGAAGCTAAAGACCCCTGTGAGAAGGTGATGAAAGCTGTAAACTAACTTCCCAGAAAAATATCTGCATTCATGTACTCACAATATCCATGTTCAGAATTCCTGAACATGTATTGGAGTGCCTGGGTAGTACGAAATATTATGTAAACCATTTTATTTTTTCAGTTGAGTATGGCTAAAGTGTCAGTTGGTTTGTTAAATAGTGTTGTGGGTGGTTGTGTTCAAGAAAAAACCAGAACAGCTCAGTCTTTGAGAAGAGCTATGACTGCTGTGAAAAATCAGATCCCACTGGCCTCATATACCCCTTCCACCTCCAAAAGGTGATTACACGTTGAGTCACAATGTAGAAAACTGATGTCTTATCTGGACTGGATTTTGGTAGAGGTTTTCTACCTCCATGATGGTTTGCCCTGCTTATAGCTTAACATTCTTGTGCAAAATTCAGGACACTGCCTTAGTTTTTGCTGACATCTGGTATCTTCATGAAGAAAACTGCCCTCAGCTATTACTACTTTCCCTTAATCTCTTAACTTATAAATTTAACTGTGAACATGTAATTACATAATAGCCTGCTTAAGTGGATGTTTTTCAAAATCAAATGGTTTCTCTATCATTCTTAGGTCTTGCCCAGCAGCAGTCAACCATATTGGGTGTTAATTTTCAAGAACGTGAGTGAGGATACAGAAATATACACAGGCAATTCTGAGTCTCTCTTCACTTATTTTTATAAAGTAGAGGTACTTGAGAAGTAATGCTCTTATCTATTTTTTTAAAATCACGAAACACAACTGAACACTTAGTTCAAAAGGTAATAGACTTCAGCAAAGTGTATGTCCCAATGTGTATTTTTAACGGTATAGTTGTGAGGATTTACTATCTGGTCAAGACAATTTAACTTTTAGAAAAATACAGGAAATTTATTAGATAAAGCAGATTATTAATTGTGATAGCAATAAAACACCTTCAAATACAAAGGGTATTTAAATTTGAAAGTATTACAGTTCTATGAAATGCCACAACTAAAATGTGATTTTTTCCTCCTTGAAACTACAAGGAAACGATTTCTTGGTTAAACATCCAATGATTAGAAACTGCATTTCATGTCATTACAAGCAAACAAACGTTTTATTTTTTAAAGAGTTGCTGGCCAGGCACAGTGGCTCACACCTGTTATCCCAGCACTTTGGGAGACCGAGGCGGGTGGATATGAGGTCAGGAGTTAGAGACCAGCCTGGCCAACATAGTGAAACCCCATCTCTACTAAAAATGCAAAAATTAGCTGGGCATGGTGGCGCACGCCTTGTAGCCCCAGCTACTCGGGAGGCTGGGGCATGAGAATAGCTTGAACCCGGGAGGTGGTGGTTGTGGTGAGCCGAGATCGCGCCACCACACTCCATCCTGGACACAGAGCGAGACTCCATCTTAAAAAAAAAAAAAGTTACCATAGTCTACCTATCCTGTGGTTTTGAAATAATACACTTACTAAAACTAATGTTTGCAAACATGGCTAAACTTAACAGATTGGCTAAATTTCCCTTTGTTAACAAGCAGTCAGTTACGCTGAAGAATTTGAAAAATGCAAATTGTTTTTTGTTATACTCTGGCACCCCAAATTTATTATTTGGGCTTGAAGGTAGTGTAATAGTTATATTGAAAATTAAATTGGTTATTTTGTCGCATAAAGTAACCAATAGTAGCAGTACTGGTACCATGTAAATGGAGACAAGAAGATTCTGGATGAAATACAAATTGAATTTTGGCATTAAGAGAGGTATTCGGGATTGCTTAGTGAATTGTGGTATATTGAGGTTTTTTTAAAATGCCAGCAAACATGTAGCCATTTATGACTTAGTGAATGAGACTATGCAAAGAAAATTTCTGCATAAAATACGGGCCCTACAGTTTGGTGTATGAAAATAAATTAATTATTCCAAAATAGCTCATGACATCTCTAAATTGGATGATAGACTTTCCTATAGAAAATATTGAAAGGAAACATTTTCTGATTTTTTCAGTAAAAGTTTCCAACTCATCCCCAAAAGCTATTATTGAAAAAACATGCTTATTTTCTTCCTTGTATCTTTTTATGTCAAAGAACTACACATAGATTTTAGGGTCAGTGCTCAACTACAAATTCTTGGCAAACCAAGCCTCACACTGTGTGACATGCCAACAACCCATGTTGAGAGGCTCCTTACACCTCTTGATTGATGATGGATGGATGGATGGATGGATGGATGGATGGATCAATATATCAATTGACAGGCAGGCAGGCAGACAATCCAGTTGGTTCCCTTTCTCTGGAAAACTTTGACTAATACAGTAACCTAATTTATTTCTATTTCAACTTGCTTCTCAGGTCCTGGCTCTAAAAATCAAAGAAATTATAAACTGTTAGATGGTTTGCTGTGTCTGGCCTTAGATGAGTCAATGAAATATATAGTC